TGTAGAGTTGTAGAATTTGTCCATCTCCTCTAGATTGTTGAACTTGTTTCCATATAACTGTTCATAGTAGTTACTGATTATTCTTTTGATTTCTGCTGTGTCGTTGTGATTTCTCCTCTTTCATTTATGATTCTGTGTATTTGTGCTTTCTCCCTTTTTTCCTTGTGAGCCTGGCTAGGGGTTTGTCTATTTAATTTATTTTTCAAAGAACCAGCTCTTGGTTTCATTGATCTTTTGGATTGTTTTTTTAGTTTCAATTTCATTTATTTCTGCTTTGGTTTTATTATTCTTTTCTTCTACTGGTTCTGGGGTTTTTTTGTTGTTCTTTTCTAGATCTTTGAGCTTCGAGATTAGGTTGTTTCTTTGAGTTCTTTCTTGTTTTTTGATGTGAGCTTCTATTGCTATATATTTTCCTCTATTACTGCTTTTGCTGCATCCCATACATTTAGGATATTGGTGTCCTCCTTGTCATTCAATTCAAAGAATTTTTTTATTTCTTCTTTGATCTCCTCGTTAGTCCAGTGGTCTTCCAGTAGTGTGGCTTTTAATCTCCATGAGGTAGGATAGTTCCTTGCCTTCTTTTTATGATTTATTTCTAGTTTGATGCCTTCGTGGTCAGAAAAGATGGTTGGTATGATTTCAATCTTGGTGTATCTGTTGATGTTTGTCTGTGCCCCAGTATGTGATCGATCCTGGAGAATGATCCGTGTGCGCTTGAGAAAAATGTGTACTCCGTTTTTTTTGGGTTTAGTGTTCTATAGATGTCTGTTAAGCCCAAATGCTCTAGGTCCTTATTTAGAGCTTTAGTTTCTTTACTTATTTTTTGTCTTGTTGATCTATCCATTGTTGATAGTGGTGTGTTGAAGTCTCCCACTACATATGTGTTTCTCTGATGTCTGTTTTCAGAGAGGACAACAGTTGTCTGATAATTTTGGTGCTCTTTCGTTTGGTGAGTAATGTTAATGAGTGTTATTTCTTCTTGAAGTATTGTCCCCAATCATAATGTAGTGACCATTGGGGTCTCTTTTTATTTTTTTGAGTTTGAAGTCTGTTTTATCTGATATAGTATAGCTGTTCCTGCTTTCTTTTTTGGCCCATTTGCTTGTAGGATTGTTTCCCATCCTTTGACTTTGAGCCTATTTTTATCTTTTGTAGCTAAATGTGTTTCCTGGAGACAGCAAAAGGTTGGGTTTGTTTTTAATCCAGGCTGCAACTCTGTGTCTTTTTATTGAAGAGTTTAGTCCATTTACATTTAGAGTTAATATTGATATGTTAGCATCTGTATTTGCCATTATGTTTGTCTTTCCTTTGATTTTATTTATTTATTCTTTTAATAACTTTTTTTTTTTTTGGTCTTCTTTCGTTGTTATTCGTCCCTCTGAGGTTCTGGCTTTAGGATTCCTTGTAGTATTTTTGGAGTGGGGGTTAGTCGCAATGAAATTCCGGAGTTTCTCTTGTCTGGGAAGGTCCATATTCTTTCTTCATGGAGGAAAGAGAGCTTGCGGATAGAGTATCTTGGTTGGCATCTGTTTCTTGGAGTCTGTTGACTATGTCCTCCACTCTCTCCTTGCCCGTAGTGTTTCTTCAGAGAAGTCTGATGTCAGCCTGATTGGTTTTCTTTGAATGTTATCTGTTTCTTCCCTCTTGTCAGCTTCATTATTTTTTCCTTGTCCTGATTCTTGGGAGCTTACTATTATGTGTCTTGCTGTGTTTTTCCTTTCGTCGTGGAAGTTTGGTGTTCTTCTTGCTTCTTGTATATCAATTTTCAGCTCCTTCTTCTCATTTGGGAAGTTCTCTTCAATTATATCCATGAATATTTCTCTGTTCCTACATCTCTCTCCTCTCCTTCTGGAATCCTATAACTCTTATATTTCCTTTCCTCATGGAGTCAGATAGTTCCCGAAGTCTTTCTCATTCTTTTCCTTCGTACTTCTCTTTCCTTTTCTGTTTTGGTTCTTTTTATTTCTGTGTCTTCAAGATTACTTATTCGTTCTTCCATTTCATCTATTCTGCTTTCATTGCTTTTCCCAGAGTTCTTTAGTTCCTCATTAATTCTTTGATCTCCTGCATTTCTCTTACTTCCCTCTTTAGGGACTCAATTTCCTTCTTCTGATCTATCACTTTTTAATCATGGCAATTTAAATTCTCTTTCTGGAAGGCTCAGAAGTTTCTTTCCAAGTTGCTGTCGTTGCAATCTGGAGTGGTTTTCTTTTGTGGTGTGCTTCTTTCTTGAGGAGTTTTTAGGTTGCGTGTGGTTCTTCTACTCCCTACTGTCTGTTTTCTAATTTGTCGTATGCGTTGGGACACTGTGTTGCTCGACTGACTGACATCTTGGGAACTTCTCCGCTCCCCTCTGGCTCTTCCAGGAGCCATCTCTGTCTTCTGGGGGCTTCTGCTGGTTTTTAGGCAGTTTTTACTGAAGAATCCTGTTCTCAAAATGGCGAAGCGGGATGCAGTCCCTGCGCCTCCGGTTTCAGGCACACTCTTCTGCGCACCCGGTCTGCCCCCGGACGTGGGTGCCTGCTCCTCTGTGGGCTCAGACTGCTGGTCGGAAGGGGCCTGGCGTGGAATAACTTCCCGGCTGGCCACTGGGTCCTCCAGAAACCTTCTGCCCTTTTCAAGCGGACTTAAAATGTCCTGTTTTATAGGGTGTTAGTGACTTTTTTTTTTCCTGGTCGCTAGGTGGCGCCAGAGATCTCTCCTATTGTCCTTGGGGGGCTGTTTTTCGCCTCCCCCCACCCCGTGGGACAGAGAACAGAGCGGGAATGGTAGGGTACACCTCAACAGCTTTGGGGTGCTGTGTTCTGCTTGTGCCCACCGTCGTGGAGAAACCACGCCCCGAATTTTCGTGCCCCGGTCTCCAGTTCAAAGCCTTCCGTTCCAGGACGCGGGCTGTAGCCCAGTTCAGTGGCGCGGGAATGGCGCCTTTGCACCCGCTCCCAGTGCCTGGGCGCCTGGTTCCTGCTTACTCAGGGAGGGACCTTCACCTCAGTGAGGACCTCCGTGCGTCTCCCCGCAAGCCTAGTCGTCTCCCCGCAGCCTAGGTCGCAGGCGCGGGGACCTGGGCAGCCGCGATCCGGTCTGCACTTGCTTTCAAGCGCGCCAGGCGCGCCGCGTTCCCGCGCAGCTACCGGCAGCCCGGGCTGTGTGCGCGTCTCCCGGGTCTTTGTTCTTCTCTAATGGCGCCCGAGCCGTTCGCTCACCGCCGCGGCGGATCCTGCAGGGTTCGCCTCAGCTCCCGTTCACGGGTGTGGTGGCTGCAATAGTTCCTTTCCACTCCCCAGTCCCGCTTGCTGCGTGTTTGTTCTTGTTGGCAGTTTTGGTTTGTTGTTTCCTCCTCTCTGCGGTCGGAGAGTGCCGCCTCTGTGGGCGGGGAGGAGCAGGGTTCTTAATTATAGTCACTTTAACTTCTAATTTTATGAGAACCAAGAAAAATTCATATAAGGACATGCTGCCTCCATAATCTACTCTCTGGGAAAAAAACTAAATATGGAATTATTTATGTGTAAAAATATTATAATTTTATAATTATAAATTATTAAATATACTGCTAATGTATCCAATCTTTTGTAAATTAGATCACTACACATTTAGGACTAGCTCAATTTTACAATTTATTTAATCTTTATTTCCTAAATTTAATAAGTATTAGGCTATCTCAGGTATGTAGTTCTTCTGACACCAAAAAGCAGCTACAATAGATGAAATGCTTCAAATAATACAACAAAAATTATTGATTTGGAAAATGCAAAAAACTTAAATACATTTCTTTTCATTTATTTTATCATTTCCTTTCAATTATTACAGGTTTAAAAAACACAGAATATTCTAATCAGGAACACATGAAAAAGAATGTGCCAAAATCTAAGTACCTGAGTCCTGGTAAGAATCTGTTTATGAGGACTCTTTTTGGATTTGTTTTGTAAAACAGAAACTAAGTTGTTAAAGCACGTAACCAAGCTCATTAGATTCATTCTGTACTACTTGAAGACAAAGCCCATCCTGTAGCAGGAAAGCTTAAACTCAGGAAGATGTCACAACAAGAACATGCTTCAATTTACTGCAGTCATCTTAGGACTTGGATACGGCATCAGCATGTTCTACATGATTTCATTCAGTAGTCTAATAACATAGCACTGTTCAGGAAATGCTAAATAAAACATAATATACAAATACATATTTAACATTAGAATACATCCCTCAGTGCATTGTAAAACTTCTTACACTCACTGCAGTGATACAAGATCGGTACTCCATGAGAAACACGTCTAGAAAAAGAGCTATTCAAATAGATCTTTAATGGTAGGCTGAGGTAAACCTACACCATAAAAAAACTTAATACTGGTCAATCAAGCGCTATATTTTTTCCCAAAATGTTATCAATGTGTTCAAGATAATGGATTTTTATTATGTTCTCACAAAGATTCTCTAAACCAAATAATCTGAGCTGGTTAAAAAGGATAACGAAATAAATGCAATATTTAATATATAGCTTTTATTTGTTTAATTTGGTAAATATAGAATGTAATGGTTTCAAGGCAAACTCTGTATTATTTCAGCCACAACTCAACAATTGACATGATTCTGAGGAACAGTCTTATATTCAATATCTACCCACCCCTACACAGACACATCTATAGAAATCCATGTACATATATATTACTTTTTAACAACTCAGAATTTTCAACAAATCTAGAATTTAGGTTTATAGTCTCACACACTTCAAGATTATCCATTTGATGTAGGGTATAACCCTAAGGAGATAAAAATTCATGCAATGATACTCAGGGTTTTTTTTTTTTTTTTAAGTATATCCAATATTTGATAATTCAATGCCATATAAAGTGCACTGAATATCTAAAATAAAACAAGTGCCAATTTTATCATGAATTAATAATATATTTATTGACTTGAAACCAAACAGGCCCAAGTTACTTTTTGTTTTTCTGAGTCAGTTCTCTATAAACTCATTTCTTTCAATCTTCCTGTGTAATAAAACCAAGATATTTCATTTCTTCTTTGTAGTTAACAAGAGATGGCAGAGGGCTCAAGGTAAATATGTTCTTGAAAATTCAGAATCAGAAAGTACTTCTTCTTGAGCAGAAGGTTCATAGTCTCCTGCATTTTCAGGCAATTCAATATCTAACTCATCATTACTTTCTGCACTGTAATCAACTTCTTCAAGGAATCGAGGTTCATCTTCATCCAGAACATAAGTGGTAGGGCTGTAGCCAAAGCATACAGAACATACAAAACACAATTAGATTTTAAGGTTCTAATAAAAGATTTTGCCATCCTGAATTAAGTTGGATGCAAGCATAATATAACATAGCCTGTTTTAACTTTAAAAATGTTATCCAAATGAACAAGAGATGTTTAATAGTTGAAACCTCCTTGCATGTGTAAGAAGTAAAATAAAATGCTAATTTTTAATTATAAGAGTGTCAGTATACATCATACAATCACAAAAAAACAATGAACTTGCTTATTCAATAACTTCTTTGAAGGATTAATTTGCAGGCTATTAAGATTTATTTTTGATGATATAAACTAGACTTTGGTAGTGATCATGATGTAGTATATACAGATGTTGAATTGCATTATGGTATACCTGAAACTTACATAAAATTATTAATCAATGTACCCTCATTAAAATGTATTTTAAAAAAGATTCATTTTTAAAGTCCTATTTTAATCATATAAATCAAGTAACATAACTTCAACAGGCTTTAGAAGAAACTGACTGTTCACTTGGTTCCTCAGTAATGCACTGAAATCACTTATTCTAAGTCTATAAAATGATTATTGCCATAGGAACAGCTCCTATACCCATCCTCAGTTTCTATCAGTCAATAAAAATGAAAACAAGTGAACACTCCACACCCAGATTAACTGCTTTCCCTTGGGACAGAGAATAAGCTATTTGCCTAAAAGCACTAAGTGCTTCTAAATATTTGATTAGGTAGGCTGTTTGAGATGAAGAGAACCTTTCCACTGGGGTCTGCACAGACCCTTTCCTCTTCAGAAAACAATACAATATTCTGAGTTTTCCCCATTTGGAAGATTTTACACACACACAACCACACACACACCATGTCACAGAAACACTATGAAAACATTTCACTATATACATTTCTTTTACCAGAACTACCTTACTACATATAGATACATATTTGTTTATAACCTAACTGCTTCTAAAAGGGTTTTTCCCATAGCTAATGTAATTAAAACTATAAAATCAGACAATGGGTAGGAATCAACAATCTATTAAAATGACCCAACAAGGGAATGTCATTAGACACCTAAAATAAAAGAACTCCTGCTGCTAAACACTAATTCAGTTGAAATATCTGGAAGGTGGGAAAGGCAAGTTAGTGAATTCCATGGTTCTAATGTTCTGAGAAAGTAAAACTCATCTGGTAAGAGTATCTTTTTTTCTAGAACTGTTTTAATTTTGCTCACTAAAAGAATAAAAAATATAGTGCAACCTACCTGGATCTTATATAGCAAAATTCCGACTAAAAGTTCAGAGCTTGTACTATGATAGACTAGTCTTGAGAGATCAAGCTGAGCAGCTTGGAGGAATGTGTGAGACTTCACAACATTTCTAACACTCATAAGAAAACTTTCACAGCATTCCACCGTGCAACAAAAATATTTATCATTGAATCTGTTGGGTCTTTTGTAAAAAGATTAAAAGAAAAGATTATTTGCTTTTATAAAAATGACTATTATTCTCTTTTTAAAATAATAATTCAGACCTCCTTATTGATCTTGATGTTTCAAATTCTCAGGGTTGGTCCCAGTGATTCATAAGATAGATAGAAGACTAGCAGAAGCAATGGCAGACTAAAGAAAAAAGTAACGGGAGAAAAAAGGAAAGACAAGTCTTCTCTTGCTATGTATTTCCTCCTAGAGACTGTCATAAGAAGAAGAATAAATCATAAAATGCAAAGGAGGACAGAGCTAGCTCAAAAGTCATGCACTGTCCAGGGGCCTGGAAACCAATCTGGACTGGGGAGATTGGCTCTACAGTGAGGAAGCAGTGGCCAGTGTTGGTAGATACCCAGCAGCATCACAGGGTTAGCCTCCTCTAATAAGTAGTAAGAGCACAACATCTATGTAGACCAATAAAAACAGACTGGCATAAGTCAAATTGGTTGCAGGGAGTTCAATCACTACACTGGACTCAGAGCAAGAATCTAGATCTACATGGAAAGCTGATTACTAGAAATTAATTAATTTGAACCAAGGAAAGGTTTAAAGGAAAATACCTAGAGTTTTAAGCTGTAAAACAAAAGGAAAACAAAAAGAGGGAAGTATGATTGAGGAGCAACAAAGATGTCTAGGATCAAGCCAAAAAAGCTTATAGACAGCAGGGAGACTGAGCAATGCTGGTATCAGATGCTCATATGTACTTTAAGATAGACCACAACCAGGAAGTCGAATTCTGGAAATGAAAGGTGGGTGGGGGGAACCTATAATGAGGAATGTCCATGACTCTGAATCCAAAAGTTTTTCCTGGATACAGCAAATGACTTGATCCTGTCAGTTTCTGATCTTGGTTCATTCCTATGATGACTGTGATAAGAACTCCACTCCTGTCCTGGCATTATCCATACTGAAAACCAGGAATGAACCATTTTCATACCCTTATTTCATTCCTGTAATCCACAATGTCTCTTAATTCTGAAGATCTAAGAAAACTATGTTCTAGGCCCAACTTAATCAAGATCTACACTACAGGGGCCACCAGTGCTAGCTCAGAGTGCACAAAGGATGAGGAAGTGAGGATTGAGGAGGCTATGGAGGGTGAAGTGGGAGGTGGGCAGAGAAGGAAACAAGGGGAGATGTCAGTGGATCCACATTTAGGGGAATACTGAGATAGACAAAAGGAAAGAAGGAAAATTCTTAACCCCATCACTCCACAGAAAGAAGCCTTCTGCTATTCTACTTTCCATTCTCCCATCCTTTTTTTCTACCTCTCTCTGCTGCACTAAACGGTGGTGGCAATTCTGAGACTCCATTTTTCTGGTTGGCTTCATTTTTCTCTGTCCTTCCTGAGTATAGATCTTGAGTGTCTCAAAAAATAGGTGTTTGGGCCTCCCCTGGTGGCACAGGCAGTTGAGCGCTGCGCTGTGAAGCTGTCTGCAGTCTCTGCAGCGCCAGCTCGATCCCGGCCATCTGGCAAGGGTCCCACATGGCGCAGCAGACCTCTCCTGTCTCGCCCGTTGCTCCCCTCAGCAGTGCATTTCATTAGTCTGCCTGTTCTGTTCCCCACTCTGTCTCTGGTGAATCCTCTCACCCTCCCATGCATCTGGCCTGTACCCAGTTCCTATATAAATAAATAAATCTTTAAAAAAAAATAAAAATAGGTGTTTATGAAAATGCTCTCTTGGCCAACAGCTCTTGTTTACATGCTCTCTTTGAACGATGGCTTTTAATTTGTATTCTCATCATTTCGAAATTCAAAACTTCTAGCCCCAACTTCTCCCATGAACTTCTCCTGCATGTCAATGGATTTGCTATCTGCACACAGCTAGCTGACATGTACCTGAAATGTAGCATGAGCTCAGCTGAACTTGTCGTTTTGCCTCCGAAGTCAGGTCTTCCTGTGGCATTCTCAACAATTCACTCAGGGTGTCATGAAGTCAAAATTCTCAGCAAGTGAGTCCTGCCAGTCACCTCTGGACCACTTCTTTGCTCACACTTCACAAGTCCTCACCAACATTGTTTCCTCTATTTAGAGGATGTATCCATCTTTTTTCTCCTAATGACTCACATTTCTTTCAAACCACAGTTCAGGCTCACCTTCAAATATTCCTCTTTAAAGTCCATATTGGGATAAGTGCCCTTTCCCTATGTTCTCTCACTACTTTGCACAAACATTCTATCTGATCTCTTCTTGTGTATAGTTGAAACCATTAGACTCACTCATCTTTAGTACCTCCTGTCAGTTCCCAAGTACCTGACACATTACAAGCCTTCAATTAGTTTGCTGACTCTATGAGAAGCCACGAGGTTGACAAGAGCATCAATTTTTTTTAATATCCCCATCCTATTGATTACTTCAGTAAATATCTTAAGGCACTACCCAATGAGGGCAATCAGTTTTACTTATAATAATAATTCCAACATATGTTTTTAACATTTTACATCTTAGAAAGTACATTCATATAATCTCACAATAAACTTCACTGAAGTAAAAGACTTTAAGGTAATTTGCCATGCAGCTATAATTAATCCTTATACATCAATATATAGGAATTCAAATATTATTTCTATTACAAAAAAAGCCTAATTGTTAAATTATTTAGCATCACCATTACTTTGTTTTTCCACCAATAATTCCTTGTTCCCCTCATTTCATTCAAGTAAGTTTACTCTTTTGCCCTACCTTTGCTTCATTCTCCAATGGCTATCCTAAACACATCTGCCTTAATGCCTTTCTAGTTTAGATTTTAATTCTTAGGATAAAGGTGACTAAGTAAAAAGCAGTTCAACAAGAAACATTTCATCTTTTTTTTTTTTTTTTAAGATTTATTTATTTATTTATACAAGCACTGGGTACAGTCAGAAGTGCGGGAGGGTGAGAGAATTCACCAGAGCCAGAGCGGGGAGCAGAGCAGGCAGAATGACGAAATACACTGCTGAGGGAGCAGCGGACAGCAGGAGAGGTCTGCGCGCCATGTGGGACCCTCACCCGGCAGCCGGGATCAAACCGGCGCTGCAGAGGCTGCGGGCAGCCTCGCAACCCAGCGCTCAACTGCTGCACCACCAGGGAGGCCCAAGAAACATTTCATCTTAAAGAGCATTTTAGTCCAAAAGCAAATCCTCTGCCTGTCACTTCAAGAAAAATGTCAAAATCTTTGCCCAAAGTGTCTTCTCATAATATGCATGCATGGAAATCCTCTCCTGTATGGTGTCACTATGATGCAGGAAAGGTTTATGATTCTAACTGATTTCTAATAAGAACAGAAAAATCTTTACATTCAGACTCAGAAATTTTTCTGGCTATGCACACGTTGAACTATTAGGCCCTTACATAAAACTAAGCCTAAAAAATTCCCCATCTCTCTCTCTCAAAAAATGTATACCACCTACTGCCAAAAGAGATGATTTGACATCTGAGATACCAGAATGTAAATCTCCAGCTCTGTTCCCTATGTAAGCATGAAAGAAGGAAAACACTGTATAGAGTCAGAAATTCTGGGTTTGTGATTCT